CCTTTTTTATTGAAAAAAAGGTAATCGGCCAAAGAGAGGTTATTTCTTCTCATTGTTAAGGTGAAAGTTTTCCTTTTCAGTGTAAGATGTTTTCCCTGATAAATATCAGGATGTAATTTGATTAGCTCTCGGCTAACCTGTTTAACTTTTATACTTGTTTTTTTCGCTTCCTTTGGTTTCAGAAGAATCGGAAAAGAAAGACAAAAATCATAGATGCTTTTTAAATTGACATTTTCTTCAATTGTGAGGATTCATTTTTATTATTTGTTGAAGAAATGACAGAGTTGGCTAAAGCTTGAAGCAGTTTACTAGCCGTAGTAAATTGAATTAGTCAATTAAATGCAAAGAGGGAAAATTTAATTTGCGAAGTTGGAGTGAAATTATTTTGCCAGTTTTGTGTCATCATGGACGTTAAGTGCTCTTTTAGCTCCTTAGTCGGCGGTTCTTGCTCTTATGACCCCAGAGATAGGAGCAGATCAACTGAGGTTGATAAGTAAACAATTCTTGAGTAAATACCTGCAAAAGAGACATCGCGGGTCATAAGTCTTCCTTGTCAATAACGAGCTTAAGATCCGACGACGGCAGACACCTAGGACGGCAGACTTGGTCGAGGGGGCTTGGGGAAAGGTCGCCGTTCCAATGGCGCGAAAAATAGCCTTAAGATAGCGCGCGCGACGGCTGCTGTAGTGGCTTTCCCCTTCGAAGTTTAGGAAAAGCGATGGCTACCTTTAGAAAGGCTCGTGAATTGTTGATCGCAAGTTTCGATGATGGTGACATTCCAGAAGATGAATTTTTACTGTTGTATGATGCCAACATTTCAAAGAATCTCGATTATCCTTACCAGAATTACGAAGATTTTGACCTGGAAGGACTCGGTGAAAGTGAGTGCTTGGCAGAATTTCGTTTCCGAAAAAGGGACATACCAATTCTCGCAGACGTAATGGGGCTGCCTGATTCGTATCGATGTGAACAAGGGACTGTATGCGATGGAATTGAAGGCCTTTGTCTTTTGTTAAGAAGATTAGCGTACCCTTGTAGGTACAGTGACCTAATCCATCGTTTTGGCCGCGAAACTGTGTACAGCTTACATCATCACCGTCTGACAGCATGGAACCACACCTTAATGAGCCCCCCTCTACTTCAGAGATATGCTGATGCCATACAAAGGAAGGGAAGTCCCCTGCCGAATTGCTTTGGCTTCATAGATGGTACAGTAAGACCCATTTGCCGACCACAAGAAAACCAAGGAATTGTGTACAACGGACACAAAAGAGTCCACGGATTGAAATACCAATCTGTTGCATTGCCCTGTGGTATGATAACCAACATGTATGGGCCAGTAGGTAATGGAAATTATTCCTTTCAAGTTTTAGCAGGAGCCCAAGTAATGGGCTCCTGGTTTTAGTCACATTAGAACCATCTGTCACACGGTAAATCCAAACAGAAAGATAAATAGGTTAAAGCAGTTTTTAGCGTGAAACATATCAAGTAGTATAAATAAAATATACATTTTTTTTTTAAATTAAAGAACACAATTTTCAATCAAAATGCGCATTTTCTTCCAGAGGGCCGCAAACATGATGCTGGAATGTTAGCTGATTCTGGCCTTCTGCAAGTCCTTGAACACCATGCTTTTTCGCCGACTGGTAACCCCATGGCCTTATATGGTGACCCTGCTTACCCATTAAGAGTTCACCTTGTTGTGCCATATCGTACTGCAGGTATCACTACTCAGATGGAAGAGTTTAACAAGTCGATGAGCAGTGTCCGCATTTCAGTAGAGTGGCTTTTTGGGGATATTGTTAACTATTTTAAATTTGTTGATTTTAAGAAAACTCAAACGATATCATTGAGTGCGTTGGGAAAGATGTATATTGTATGTGCAATTTTAAGGAATGCCATGACTTGTTTGTATGGCAATTTCACATCAAATTTCTTTGACATTGACCCACCAACCCTTCAGGATTATTTTTCCTAACAATTAAAACTATTTGTACCCTGAAATGAATTTCAATGATAAATTCATGTGAAATACACAACTAGTCAATAAGATGTAACAGTGTATGTCTGCAACCTGCCAATAAACTACTGTTTAAAGTTTTGGTATTTATTCTTTAGTATTTGTAGTCAGGTCAACTGATGTATAACAACAACTATAATTAATGTAAGAAGGGTTCAGAATCCATTTCAGAGGGTACAAGGGATAATATATCACCAGGGTGAGAGCAGAGGAGAATGGGGAGCTTCCCAAAATATGCACAGAGAATGTTCCAAAACTGCAACAGACCCTCCCCCCCATATCAATCCTCTCTAATCATACTAAAACGTAGTCAAAAGGCCATAAAATTTGAACAAAACAACAGCATTTAACGCATTCAGTTACTGAATGTTTTTCTAAAAGTCTCAAAATGATTTGTGACTGCTGTTGTTGCATGGCAACAAACATGTGCTGAAACTGTTGCATTTGATTCTGTTGCTGCTGGACTTGCTGGGCCATCATTTACATCATTTCTTGATGTTGCTTTTGACACTCATCTTGCTTTCTTCTCTCTATGTCCAGGCACTGCATGTGCAATTCCAACTCTTCAGCTTTCCATTTCTGAACCATATCATTCTTCTCACACAGATACGCCACTGTGTCCCCACCACTCTTCCTTGTGACTTTTCGCTTAGGTTGTGCATTCTCTACATCCTCGACTTCATCACCATCCTTCCTTTTCTGTGTTGAACGCATGCTCTCCATTGCTCTATTCCGCATCTCGACAGCTTTGGCACTATCCTCTTTTTTCTTGTCAACTTCCAGACTATTTTCAGCATCAGCCTCCTTTTCCAGTATTTCCTCCAAAGCTTTCTCAACATCATTCATGTCAGTCTCAATGCCACTAGCCTTTTTCTCTTCTTGTAACTTTTTCTTTAATTTTTCAATGAGTAGTGTGTAACGCTCTCTCACTGAGCGCTTGTTAACTTTAAATCTTGGAATTTTCAAGGAGTTGAGATTACTGGCAATTTTTTCCCAGATCTGCCCTCTTGCGATACTTCCCTTTTTAGCTTTAAAGGGTTCTAGAGCCAGAATTTTTTGACTGAGAGAGTGGTCATGATCATCTGTCCATTCCATGTTAGATCTACATTTTAAGAAAATATAATATGGATATTTAAAAATCCTGGTGAGTCTGCTAACTAAGCTTCAATTCCAACTGCTTAGTTCAGTCCAGAACTCTCCAAAGTAAATCAGAGCAGTCTTGTTTATGTATGTTGTGGTTAAAATTTTTGTTTGCGGGTTTAAAAATGCTCAAACCACGTTAAGTTTTTGTTTCCCTTTGTCTCAGGTTATGGTAATAGATGCGAGAAAAGGATAATAACAATAAAAACAGAATAAAGAATGAAAAATGGTTTAAAACTTTTTAAATTGACACTGGAAAAATTTGAATCACAACATGGACATGCATGCAAAGCAGCATAATACAGGTATAAACTTATCATTATGATAAATGTTTAACCAATTTCCGACAGCAAATTTTTAACGCTTAATCTAGGACGTTTCTTTATGGCTGAAAAAACATCACCGAAACTGTTGATTATAAAAATGTTCTCAGATGATCCTTGTTGTTGAACTCGAGAAAAGACAAATGGAATATCATGGCCATCAATTTATGCACGAAGAAGTCTACGAATTTTTAATTGAAATAAAGAAATTATTAAACTTACTGGGTTGCTTTCTTTGTTGACATTGAGAGGTAACGAACTGTTTATGAGAAAGGCAAACGAATAAAGGCTTGGCTATTTCACAGACATCCTCTCATAACAATAAACGGTCAAAATTGCCAACAATTTTCGCTCAAAGAAGTTCAAACGGTGTTATTTTGCAAAAGTTTACTCACGTTTTAGCCGCGACGGCAAAATGGCCTCCTTCACGTCACAGACAAGGCCGCTACGGCGGGAAACTTCACAACAACGGCAGCCGGAAGTAATTCTGGCGGTAACTTCACTTCCGCTTGCCGTCCCAGATGTCTGCCGTCGTCGGATCTTAAGCTCGTTAATAACTGACGTAGAAACCGAAATCGAACTTATTTTGGGAAGAGTATCTACATCCTTTTCTTCGGAGTTAGACCTTTCAGAATTAACAATTTGTCCCCGGCACCGCTCATCCCTTGGTACTGGGTGGCGTCGAGGATCGAATCTGTGCCGAGTTCCTCCGCCAATCTCGAAGCACGGCGGACAAGCCCAAAAAAACGCAAAGGCAGAAAGAGGACTTGGCAAAAGTGCTTGTTATTAGATATGGAAGAAACTGGGAATTTTTATTCCAGTTGGTTCAGGTATGTATACATCATTTTTCATCTTTTTCAACCAAATAGACCAGCTCTAAAATGGCGGTCCAATCTGACACTTCAATTAAAGCACTTTGTCAGCACTTTTTATTTTTTTTTATTTTGACTTTTTCAATAATTAATAAGCCGTGACGGTCGCAAATTGAATAGCCTTCGTTTATTTTCGTGTTTCATTTCCTTTCATTATTCTAACATTTTATAGTACTGATTGTAGCAGCAAAAAGGTAAATTTAGAAGCCTTCACCGGACTCCTAAAATTACAGCTTTTTAAAGCAGATTCCCTGATGGCCTATAGATAGTAACAGGAGACTCAGCCCCTAAAGGGTACCTTTATCAGGTTTCAGGTATATCAAAGGGTAGGGAATTGAAGAGTTGAAGTATATGAAAGGGCAGGAAAATCTATCATTTAAGTTTTTTAAAACAGGTTCCCTTACTTGTGTAAATTAAGACCGTAGTTGTTCAGAATAGTGATTATATCGTATCAGCAAAAACCTGCATTTTCCATCGATTCACTCACCAGGTATTTGTCGCAACTGCCGGGTTAATCTTGACATGCAGAAAATAGGGGAGCTGCCCACAAAGCTTCCGGAGACCAAGAACCTTTCTTACGAGGAAACTGAGACCATTGAGACTTCTGTAAGTTCTGAACTGGCACTCAATGGAAATAGTGTTATTAACAGTGGCACCAAACAAGGCCCGCGGGGCGAAAAAAGATAAAATGGATAGAGACCTTATCATCACAAAGTCTGCATGAGCGGGCCCCGTTTCCTTGCTGCCTTTCCTTAAAATGTAACGAATAGGGATAGAGAGCACATATTAACCGATTTCGTAGACCTCAGACTGTGTGCTGGTATCCAAGAAAACAATGCCATATGCTTATTTTGTGCCTTCTACGTCAGTTTTTCCTGAGTTCCGCAGATAATGAAGAGGTTTAATACCCCGTGTATTTTATGTCGCCCTAGCGTCTGCACACAGTTTAAATTTATTCAGCGGATTTTCTATTTTTATTCTCACCAAAATCTTGAAGCTATGGTAACAAGTTAAAGACCACGTAGTCCGCGATGGTAAGCTGAGGTCAAATTGTTCTTTTAAGAATAAAGGGTTCATTTAAAAAAAACTGCATTTTTGCCTCCACTTTCCCCCACCTACACACACGCATCCCTCCACCTTATACCGCCAGGGATACGAGTTCATGTGATTTTCTCAAGGTTAAGGATACAGTGAATAATGCCCAGAAAAACGTTTCGGGTTTCCAATATACCACTCCAGGATCCTCTACCGCTCGCTTTAAAGTTCGTACTTACTTGTCATAATGAAAGGTATTTTATGTAATAAATTAGGCACTTTTTATCATAAATGAAGGCAGCAAAAAAGGTTTTATTTTTAGTCCATAATAAAGGCAACAAAGATCAGGAGGGATTATTGATTTTTGTATAAGTGTTGGTTAACTTTGATAATTATGTACCCAATTAATTTTTTTTAATACAGTTTACGTTATATTTATTTTGCGTCCTTGTCTAGGGCGTGATGTGTAACCTTCGAATTGCTGCAAGTAGTCCTTGTTGGGTGGTAGCACATGACTTACTAGAGCAAGAAACGTCATTACATTTACCATCAACCCTCCTAGAAGAAACCGAGACAAGCGCTACAGGAATGAAGTCGGAAGAACCTATTGACCACCTTAACAGTTTCTTAAGAAGTCGAGACGTTAGTCCTATTAGGTACACCCTAAAGACACCTTGGAACGATGCCAGTGGAAGGACCAGACGACTGCATGAGCGCAAAACCAAGCAAGCGGTTTCAGCTGTTCTTGGTGAAATAGCGCCTAATGATCCAGATCTTCTCTGGGAATCTATTATGTCCTCAAAACAAAATGAAACTGGAAATCATACTTGTTCTAGTGGTTTGGATAAAGAATTGATGTACACGCTGGCAAACTGCTACAAAAATGCAAACGAAAGGGATTCTCGCAGACAGATATTGTCCATTATGGCGGATAAGGTTAGCTTGGCAACAATTCAACAGTGAATCCCAGGCCTGACAAGTTATCGGTTTAAGGTCGCCAGGCAGCATGCTGCAGTTCATGGCAGTGGAAAACTGGTGCCTACCAATGCACAAACGAAGTCATTCATACCTGAAGCAAAATTAGCGCATTTCCTAGACTTTATCACCAGCTCCCATGTAATTCAAGATCTTTCATTCGGAGCCAAGACAATAACATTGTCAACTAACAAGGTCATCCAAGTTCCAAATGTGGTACGGAACATGATACCTGAATGAATCGTTTGCCAGTACCAAAAATATTCTGCCGAGCATGATTTCACACCCATGAGTCGCAGTACACTGCTAAGAATTCTGCATGTTTGTTCCGCTTCGACTCGCAAGTCATTGCAAGGGTTAGATTACGTAAGCTGTTCCGGTGCGCAGGCATTTGAAGATTTTGTGAACGTTGTGCACCAGCTCGGGGAAAACGGAATGGGTCTTACATGGGCAAAAACACTAAAGGAAGCTTTAAAGGAGGCAAAGCGGTACCTCAAGACTGATTTCGAGGTAAAATAAGAAAGTGAAAAACGGAAATAATTTTGTTGCGCGCCTGGCGTAAGTGTATTTTGAATGTTACTCGACTGCCTACTACATGAGTGCTCTCTAATTGGTTACTGCTCGCGTCTAGGTAGGTGAATAAGGGTGGATTCCCACTGTCGCGTAAATTTCACGTGCATACACACGTAGCATTTAGGAGCGTAATTTAAATAGAGGCAATGTTTGAAAGGTCGCACGTAAACGTAAAAGTTGAGCGAGGTTTAGCTTTTACGTTTACTCGTGGCATTCCAGACGTTCTTCTATTTTATTCACACCCTTAACCCTATTTAGACCGGGAAGGGTTTGAAGCCCCCCTTTGCTTAAAAGTTGAATAACTTCAAAACTGCTCAAGCTTTGAGCACTAAACCTAGCGACTTTTCCTAAAAATCATCTGGGGACATTTTAAAGTCGTCGTGACTTGTACGCCAGCATTGACGTTACCATGGCAACCGAGTTTTGAGAGCCATATTTTCCAAAACTTGCTGTTTTACTCATTCAATTATACCCTTACACTGTTCTCATATGCCGTCAAGAAATGCAGTGTTAATATTGTGATTCCGTGACTGGTCGACTCCTCAATATCACGTTTAGTCAC